TGCCCCCTTCCAGGGCATCAACGATTGCCCGGCTAGGCCACGTCATTGTTTAAGTGGGAAATTACAGCCGTGGCGATGATGTTGCGTGATCAATATTGATCAATCAGATCTCCACCGCCCCCTTCACTCCCCACGCCTTTCACTTTTCACTTCCTTCTTGCCATCCTGCTCCCGCCCTCACCTACGTCCCCCCCTCTCCTGCAGCCGAGAGCGTCGCGCCCACCTCTCGGCACCAGCACGCGTCTTATCAGTGTTCACACCACACATCTCTGCTCGCCTCGGCTCGCCCCCCCCCCCTCTTCTTTACGCACAATGGTGATTTTAAAAACGCCTTTCCTGTGTTCGCAGCTGCTCTGATGGGAAGCGGCTCCCTGCTATACGCCACACGTCAGTAGGCGCCGAACGCCACACGCGGGTCCGCCTCACGCGAGGAGCCGTGGGCGTTCGCTGCGCTACCCGGCCCCACCCCTTCCACCGCCGCACGGCGGGCGCCGGGCAGTGGTTCGCGCCGTTGTGTGGTAACGCCCTACACCCGCGCCTAATGAAAAATGTTGCTACTCCTGCCGCACAGGCGAAAAACAAAAGCAAACGGCCTGCAGGAAGGCGGCGCGGGCGCGTAAGTTTTTAATGCCGGCGCTACGCTACGCCACGCCACGCTCCCCAGCGCGCGCGCGCACGCACACACGCGCGCGGCCCTAATGCCCCAGCCCTTGATGGACCAATAGCCGGAGCGCCCTCACGCCCCCCCGCCAGCACGAAGCAGGCGCGGGGTGGGGCGTCATCGGCGTGTGGAGCAGATGGGAGAAGCTCACGCGCCTTTTCTTTTAGAGGTTTCTGCTCGGCACCGTTAAAGATAAAATGATTAACGACACACGCGCACTTTCCACCAATGGTTCAGTCACCAGGTGAGGGTACGACAAAGTAGTCACAAATAGATGCGTATCTCGTGCGAGCGGATGTCACTGATTGGAAAACCTTCCACTCCTTATCTCTCTCGAGAGGCAGGACGTCACCGTGTGTCAGGGCCACCACACAACTGTACCTACTAGGTGACTGATTCACGCCGCGCACTTTCGTAGTTCGCCTGCACTCGTCATGCGGTACAGTGTCACTGCGGAAGTGCGCGCGGCGTGAATCAGCCACCTGGTATGCTGGGTTGCCTCTACTAGCTCTACCCGTAGGACGCCATGACCCTCGGGGTTTGCAAGTTGTGTCGTAGCCCCGACACACGGTAGTTTGTGGCCGGCTTTGAGGTGGCGACGCGAGCGTGCAAGGAAGCCGCCCAAACAGACTCGTTTGACGCTGAGCGCCTGCCCGGCCGCGGCCCGCCGCCCCAGACCCGTGTGTGGGTGTGGCACCCCGCCGCGGCCCGCAGTGCCTGGGCCTCCGCCGCCTCCGCGCGCCGCGGCTGAATCGATCCGAGCCGAGCCGAGCTGGGGCGGGCAGAGCCGAGCCGGGCCGCGGGCTTAATGAGCCTAGCTCAGAGAAAAGAACTAATGTGAGGGAGGAACTGATGAATGACGGGAGAGGGAGCGAGAGGAGGGCGCGCGGCCCGGCGCGGCGGCGGGAGAGAGCGAGAGAGGGAGAGGGGGGGGGGGAGGGGCGAGGTCGCGCTCAAGGAGGTGTATGCGCCAGCGGGGGTGGGCGAGCGAGCGAGCGAGGAGGGAGCGTAGGAAGGAGGGTGTTTAAAAAGATGGGGTAAAAGTGTGCAAGAGAGAGAGCGAGAGAAAGGGGGTGGTGGCAGAGGCGAGACGCGCGGGGCGGAGATGCCGGAGAGCGCAGAGAGAGAGAAAGAGAAGTTTAAAACTCACATGTTCCGATGAGTGCTGCGGAGCGAGTGAGACAGTGGGAGACCAGGCGAGGGGGCGAGGGAGAGGAAAAATGAGAAGGTTGGTTGGGATGGGGTAGGGGCAGGGTGGGAAGAGGGGCGAAGGACAAGAAAGTGCGACAGAGAAGGACTGCTTGATGTTGTTATTATTGTTGCTCCGCGTGGCGCTGCCTGAGATAAGGAGAGCGGGGAGGAAAAGACAGAAAAAGGAGCGAGGGGCCGTCGTGTGCGTGTGCGAGAGGGAGCGAGAGAGTGTGTGCGAGAGGGAGCGGCGCTGGTAGGGAAATGAGTGAGGGACGCGCGGGGGAGGAGGGGTGAGTGCGAGGGAGAGGGGCAGACAAGAAAAGCTGTAAGGATGAAATAAAAGCAAAGATGTGAGTTTTAAGGCATGGGAGGGAAGACTCCGGGAGGGGTGTGAGAGGGTGGCTTTGCCGCCGGCTGGGGGGTGGAGAAGGGGGGGGGACTAATCTCCGGTGGGAGGAATGGAGGCGGAGGAGGGGGGGGGCACACGTGTAGAAGAATGTTAATGAATGCCCTCCCTGCCGTTCGATCGGCGCGGAGGAGCTCCGCAGGCGCCCGAACGGGGATAGGCAGGACGGGCACGGCCAGCGGCCTTAAGGGGGACCTATAGGGGAGACCTTAGGGGGACCTTAGGGGGACCTTAGGGGGACCTTAGGGGAACCCGCTGCTCGCGCGGGCACGCCAGCAACGCTAAAACAAATTATTTATCTCAAAACTTGCTCTCATTTCGCCCTTTCTCCCGCTCTTTCTCCTCTTCTCTTCAATCAATCTTGTAATTTATTCCATTTACATTCTGCGGAGCGCAGGGTACGGCGAGGATGAGGACGGGTGGACCCGGCGGGAAACAAAAACAAGTCCGAGCGGAAACGAGAAGAGCGGGGGAGAGCACGGTGAAAAAGAGAAAGGGCTGAGAAACTCGGGGCTGCGATCTGATGAGAATGTTGGGCGCGGTGCCCGGTGCATTGAAGGGGTTGGCCCGTGGCGCACCTCTCCGCCGGTGGTGGTGTTTGGGGGTGCACGGAGGAGGTTCGTGAGGGTGCACGCCACGGGTGCCGCATGCGGCGGGGGCGGGGCACCCTCTCGGCTCCGGCTATGCCCTGCCCTGCCCCGCCCCGCCTCGGCCCGTCAGACCGACGCACAAAGCGAAGCCCGGCAAAGTGAAGCTGGAAAGGAAAGTACAGGAAAGGAATGGGAAAGGAAGGGAAAGGGTTGCCTTAATTTATCATGAGCCCCTTGCGATCTGAGACGCGCACGCCCCACGCTGCCGCGGCCCACTCGCCCCGCCTGGGCCCTCGACTGGAATAACAATATTTGTCGCCAAAGACAATAGTGATTAAAATAGTTCATTACGTCTCCGCTATCTTCCCAAGTACTCCGCCTCACGACAGGACGGTCGGTCCACAGGTCCACACAGTGGTGCACGGGCGCGGCGACCCTGCTGCCGGCGCGGGCCCCTCCTCGTGCAACCCCCGGGTACACCGGAAACCCAGGTGAGTGAATCGTCTCGCACACATAGAAGCACAAGTGTATGTATGTTCACAGTAAAATTTACTTTTGTTGCCACTGCTTAAAGTAATTAGATTGAATAGAGTTACAAAAACAAGAAACTGTTTCAACTACGGCCCAACGATTAATCCTCTTGGTGGGTACCCGACAATTGGAGCTGTGAGTCCCGGTGGCCGGAGGCGAGACAGAGGACACCGGAGGCCGGCGACCGCGCCTTGGCGGCCCGCGGACCTGATCCCCGGCCGCGCACCTCACCGCGCTCGGTTCGGATGTCGGTCGGGTGCAGGCGGACCGCCTGGCGGTACAAAGGTGGAAGGAAGCCGACCGAAATGATGGGCCCGTGCTGAGGCCCGAGCGGTATTAGGCGCGATTGTGGAACGCATTTCAATTTCTTATTACAGGACGGCAGTCGGCAGTCGATAGGTAGAAGTGGGAGGAGTCAGCAGACACGACTTTGCATTTTGGTTTTATACCAACCAAACACTTTACCTTTTATTTTTGACGATGATCTATTGTCTCATCTTTCTGGGTCCCGGGCCCTTATCGCGGTGACACATTCAGTCGACAGTGGTTCCTATCAAATAATTGTTATCAGGTTATCGGTAAGGACCCGCGCTTTCCCAAAAATATACCACGCAAATAGAAATGTAAAATCTTTTGATTGTGATTAAATGAAAAATATGTGTGCTAAATGTAGGGGCTACTATCGAATCTCTTTAAAATCTAAGATTACTTAAACACTTTTTAAATTAACCACACCCATTTCTTAATGTACGAATATGCAATTATTTCGCACACCCGGAAAGGAGTCTTTAATTATGTGCTGTCCTTGATGATACATAAATATTTGCTCATCCAATAGGATGCTTCTTGCTTTTTCGCTGTGTAGATAGATACCACAATCAGAGAGGCACCAACATAAAAGCTATATAAGTCCACACCAGTTCAAAAGGCTGCTACAGTTGGGTGCGTGGGTGGAAGTCTGGCCGTCATATAGATTCTCGTACGAGATGGTGCTGTGTACGATGTCGCCCGCCCGCTTGACTGCGTTGCTGTTGCTGGTGCCCATGGCCATGGCCACGTGCCCATGCCCACCCGCGCCCCAGTCCTCCAAAGTGTGCGGATCCAACTTTGTAACATACGACAGCCAGTGTGCCCTGGACTGCGCCGCTGTGCAACAGCCCGGTTAGTACAGTGTTCACCTTTAAAGTCATATCTCCTGTGTTCTTTGTTTTTGGTTCTGCCTGAATTAAAATGTCACAAGATTTGTTAAGAAGGAAACAATAACAATTCTTGTTAACTATGAAACGAACCCATGGTTGGGAAAATTTAGTCGCTTCAGGTGTTATGGGAATTTTAAAGGCACGCACACAGTAAAAACGAGCCCTGGGATTCCCAGGAGTTCTCATTTTCCAAGGGAGTTGGAAGTGTTCCAAGGGTTGCCCTGGCATCCACTGGGGTTTCCAACTCTCCTGGGAATCCCAGGACACGTTTTTACCGCGTAAAGCATTCTTTAAATTGTCGATGTGTCTTTTCGGGTGGTGTCTTTGTGCATAATGGACACCTTATTATATAACTGTACACAGTTTTTCGCGTGGGCGGTGCGTAGTTTGTTTTTGCGTTATAGACTCCTAGTTTTAAATTTTACACTACTTTTCACGATAGCGGCACGCACGCGCGGAGCAGACGAGCAGACTACCCAGAGCAAGGTGTTTATTGTTGGGCTATTACCCAGTCGCGGCTTAAAATGCAATATGTGGTGCTGAACTATCACGATAACTCC